AAATAATTAAACTACACAAATAATACTAGACGATCTTTTAATAATTCCTAGTTTGTTGAACATTTAGACATGTGACAATATTATACTATAATATGAACAATAATTACAACCGTTACATGCTTACAATAGATACTGTAAGCTATGCAACAGAGTCTATAATTAACTTTCTGTTTACTCCTGCGCGATGCGATTAAAGGAAACGCGTTGAAAACTTTTTTAATCCCATTAACTCATCCGGATTTATAAATAAACGTTACGACCGGCCCTCGAAGTAAATATACCGTTGACGGGATATAAAAGTCCACGGCAAAGTTTTAAATCTTCTTTAACAGGGTCACGCGCCTCGCTACTTCCACGAGCAAAAAGACTAAAAGGAGGCCCCGGCGGGTGTGACGGAGTCCGGGATTGCGCATTATTTTCCGCGGAAAAATGAAGAAGAGGACCGCGGGACAAAAGTTAATTGTGGAAGCCTTAAAGGGACGGGGAGGAAAATTGAAATGAACGGGGAAGCACGCGGCTGGGAAGCCTTCAAGTGGACGTCTAGGAAAAACGCGAAATGGAATGGGACAAAGGAGACGGATTATGCAACGTTAAGTAGTTTTCATCGTGACATTGTGCAACTGTAAGGACGTCGCAAATTCCATATTTCATTCGTCGAGAGATAAAATAATTATAAAATATTTTACATGTATTAAATGTCACAATTTCCACTCACAGATTTAAGNACATCCTTAAGATTCCATTATCATAGAATCATAAGAAAAAAAGTTAACACAAATTGAGTCATTTATTGATTTAACATTCTCTTATGTAAACAAATTCGTCACCTATTATAATTGCATTTAGCGATTAATTTATACAGCACGTACTTCGTTCTTTTTAAAAAAAATCCGATATTCTGAACATTTTTCGAAATATATAAAAAATTCCTTATTCCTTCTATAACGAAAGAAAGGAAAAATCGCGTAGGAGTTGAAGTTTCCTTTGTGCCTGAACAAAAGAGAGGATTTGAAACGGAGAAATAATTTGAAAACTCGAGGCGGAGCGGAACGAGGTCTGCACGGATGGTAAAGTGGAGAGAAAAGGTGGCGGAGGTAAGGGACAGTATAAAATTGCATCGTCAGATTGGAATAATAAAGCCGGGTCGTCGTGTTACACTTTATCGCTGGGTAACCCAGCACCGCCCACGCAGACGTTTCCATTCCTGTTCTGTGCGGCGGGAATATTAAAACGTAACTACCTGCCAGCTTTCAGAACGTAGCAATCACCGCCGCGTTCATAGTGCTCGTCCAGGTCCGGGCTTAGGCTCGACAGGATTTCGTACGTTCCAGCAGCCAACTTCAGAGGCACCCAGCCGCTCGAGTACTCATCCCCTATTAGCAGCTTTGACAAAAGGTTTCCTTTTTTTCACTTCACGTTTAAGAGAATGGCAGTGATAAAATTTTATCTCGCTCGCAAGTTTATCAGTTCTAGTAAAACTTGATAACGTTCGATGGATGCCCCAGATATTAACCCTTCGCACGATATTTTTCTCAACGAGAGTCTCCATAATATTTTTAAAGGGACATAATAGTGATTTTTTAGTGAATCTATCATACAACGGTTTTCAATTCTTCTATAAGAAACAAGAAAGTTTATAGTGTTATTATTATGAGTGTGCAATCAGTTATGTAGCAGAGCTATGTTCAGAGCAAAGTGAAATTCGATAAAATATGATAAGTACAGTATTTTTATATAATTTTTATAAAAATATATTTATATTTAAAAATTCTATGTACAGGTAACCCTCCTATAACACGGTAGATAGGTTCCTAGAAAATGCCGTGTTGTGTGAAACCGTGTTGTATGAGACCCAGAGCCAGTACAAAAACGGGGGTTACGTTCCGAAAACTTATTAAAAACC